AATAATAATAATAATAATAATAATAATAATAATAATAATAATAATAACCATCAAAGGAATACACTTAAGAGCTACAGGTATGGTATGTAATCTAAGATAGTTGTTCTTTTTTTGTCTGGATTATATTTTGTTAAAATGAATTATCGATTTACCCCATTGTTAATATCCAAATCAAAACAACATTTTTCAACATCTCAAGTTGGAAAACAAAACTAAACAAATTAAAACAGACGCTAAAACTTTATTTTTTAAAAAAAAAATCCGTAATCTCCCACTCTACTACCTCATCCTCTCTCTGTCGATAAGCACACCTCCTAATTTACAGCCTGGGACTCTTTCCATCCTATGCAGGAATGGGAAACCCGCCAGCCAACTTTTTCCTCTTCCTTTTCCGCCACATGATTGCTTTAAACATCAACGAACAGGCTAGCCCAGCTTTCCCCAACCAGATGCCCTCCAGATGTGCTCCACTCACTGGCTGGCAATGATGAGTTTTGTAAGTCATCCGGCACATGTAAAGGGTTCTGCGTTGGGAAAAGCTGGGTCAGCTTATTAGGAAATAGATACCAAAACAGGTCAATGATGATCATGTACATGATGTACATCATCATCATCGTCACTGTGATCATGACGGTGATCATGATGATGATAATCATGAAATAACCACGGGGGTGTGTGTTTGGAGGCAATGTTGTTCCTACCGCCATCCTTTAGACTCCAAAAGACCTGTTGAATACAGTGGTCCTTATTCCCAGGTTAATTAATATATAGATATAGATATAGATATAGATATATAGATATATATCGCACCAACGTGCCTACCGTCCCTGTCCTATTGATTCTTTTTATTTTTCTTATATGTATCCACTTATCTATTCATAACTATGTTTACACTTATACCTATTATCTTGTAAGCTACTGACAAATCAAATAAATAAATAAATGGACCACTGCCTTATTTATCCCCTTGATTTTGAACCCGAAGCGGCTCATCCATAGACAAGGCGTTCGCAAATACTCCAGACCCTGACAAGACGGGCGAAGCGCAGGGGTCCTCAGGCAGCAACCCGCCTCCACGCCGGCTCCTTCGGCCTCCTCGCCACCCCCTCCCTCCTTCCCTCCGGTGTCCTTTCTTCTACTCACGTTTGTGTCGTGGGAGAGATGCTTCCACTCCTTGTCCTTTGAGCTCCTAAATGCATTTGTCTGCATTTGTCCGAGCAGCGAAGTTCTAACCGAAATCAGAAGCCAACACTCCCGGACCTCTCAGGGTTCAAGTACTGTCCATGAAAACGACCTCCGGAACCTGGGAGTCGCTTCTCTTTGGCTTTTTTTTGCCCGGCGCTAGCTTCCCTTTAGCGCTTCTTCCACATAGTTTTACACTCCGCGCGGCCAGAATGGGAGAGGGAGTTCACGTGCAGCTCAGGAAAAGGCGTCCTCTGTGTGTTTGTGTGTGTGTGTGTGTTTTGGGGAAAACTGCCTTTGTTTGTTTATTCGTTTGCAAAAGTTGCTGCGCTCGACTTGCTTGCAACTGGACTTGGGGAGGTCGTCAGCGAGGAGACCTTGGCGCTGGAAGGCAGCAGCAAAAGAAGAGCCGTCGGAACTGGGAAGAGGCAGCACCTCCAGAAGACTAAAGGCTTAGCAAGGGGGCGAGGTGAGGCGGGAGGGGGGGGGCTGGGGGCGCGGGGGCGGCGAAGAGATTTCAGATTGCTCTTTGCAGCGTCTTGAGCGGCAATAGCGCAGGCATTCGGCGCTGAAAGGCGAGAGCCTCTGGCTTTGGAGCGGAGCGAGCTGGCAGCCAACCCCAAAGCAAAGCAAAGCCTCCCCACCGCGGATCGGTGTTGAATTTCATCGCTCACTGACTTGCGATTACATCATCAAACCCAATCTTGAAAGGAGCTCGCGCTGCCTCGAGTCCCGCGCGCCTCTCTTCCCCCGCGGCCGCCGAGCGGAAAAAGACAAAGCGCGAGAGGTGGCGCGGGCCCGGCCACGGTTTGGCGCGCTCGCCGCGGCCGCTAGGGGGTAAAAAGTTGAGGCCGCGGCCTTCGGTTTTGTCCCGCGCGCTGTTCGGTGGCCGTGCGGAAAACGCCATTGCAATCGTTGGAGGCGCTCTCATTGGGCCGCGCTTCTACCTAAGAAAAAGCAAAAAGAACCGAAATGGGCGCTATTATTATGAATGCCGCAGCTGTTTCTTTTTTTCTTTTCTTTTTTTAAGGTCACTTTTTGAAGGCAACATTTGATCAGGGTGGCTAAGAACCTTTGAAAATCTCAATTTGAAAAAATTCTTAAAAGTCGTGTAATAGCCCTGGCTACTACCACTGAGGTGAACTGAGGTTTACCCCAAAAGAAGTTAAGGAGTGACAAAAGCAAAGCAGTTCCAAGAAAACGTATAAAATCTTTATTAAAGTTATTAAACTCTGAAGGTCAAACAAAGCTAATGTGCAAGCATTTTCCAAAATGTTCATCAGACAGGATTGTTTCAAATAAATCAATAAAATCTGCTTCACATCACACTTTATTCCTGGTAATTTGGTGGACAGTAATGTCTTCTGTGTTGTTAGCAACAATACAGAAGTGGCTTGCCATTGCCTTTTTCTCATTTTTTTAAAAAAATATTTCCCGAATGAGTCCACAGCACTATCTTAGACTATATTTTCTCATGATCTTCCATCCAAATACTCATCAGTATGTTTCTGCTTAACCTTTTAAATCAACGCCAACCAAGCCTGGCAGGGTTTCAGGAAAAGGTAGCTGATTGCTATTAAATGGACATCTGATTATCTTAAAATATTTTTTACAAATAGCTTACAGACATAAACAAAAGGGTTTTTTAATTTTAATTGTGCTGTTGGAATGACTTGGATTCTGACAAGAAACAATGGAAAAGAACATTCAACTAAATCAATATAAGTAAAGCTCACAGTGTATGGAGGTGTCTAACATCCAAAGACTGAACAACAACTAGAGGGCAGGTGGGATCTGATGAGTGTCAAAGCCACTGCCCAAAACCTAGAAGATCACCCAGGAGTACATCCATAAGATGGCATCCAAAGATGACTTGCTAAGAGAATGCCTAAGGCAGGAGCAGACATGGGAGGAAGATCAAGCAGAGGCAGTGCCATGACAAGACAAGGCCCTGCATGGGATGAACCATAGATAACTGAGGTGACAGACTTTGGGAAATTCTACCAGTGGCTGGAAAGGGTTGGACTAAAAGACAGCACTTGAAGCACTGATCATAGCAGCATAAGAACAAACACTAGACACCAAAACTATAAAAGTAGGGGTCTATCATATATTCGACAGGACCCAAGATGCAGACTGTGCAGAGAGGACTTAGAGGCAACCCAACATATAGTGGCTGAGTGTAAGATGGGGGCAGGAGTGGCATACACTGAACAGCACAACTAAGCAGCTGATATTATGTACAGGAACATCTACACAATAATTAATTTCCCCAGAGAAATTGTGAAAGACTGCTCCCGATACCGCCCTGCCCCTTGATGCAATTGTCATAATTCATTGACACATCATATTACAAGTTGCCACATCACATTGCAAGCTACAAGTATTTTAGTCAACTTAGTACAAAATGATTGGGACTAATAACTATTAGGTTTTAACAACAGTTATGCAACATAAAACTGCTTAGCAAAAATATTTCATTGTGCTAAAGGTAGGCCATGTTGAAATAAACTTTAATAAAGGACCATATTAATGCCAACTTCTGTGACTTAAAAATCTTCCAAAACAGTCTATTTTATCTTACTGATGTAGGTTTCTACGTCAGCTGTATTAACTGGGCACAAGTGTTGTAGAGTTGTGGCATTTACTTTAAAGTTATTGAAAGTATTTTTCTGATTATTAGTAAATATTCCAAGAAAACTAAACCGACGATAGACCATCTCTCCTCCCAAAATTGTAAAGATATGAAAGCTAGTAGTCTAGCTTCCCTGTCTGCTTCAACCATCATAAATTAAAGGATGAGATTGCCTTTTACTGTGACCAATGCTAGCAATGCAGAATCTGGGTGGGCATAGTATGAGGTACTGTTAAAGTGCCAAAGAACACTTATATCAGATTAGCGAATTTCAATATTCAAATATTATTTTAGTATCAATTACTTTTTGTGGGCTTCTTAAGTAAACCAGTCTGAGGAGATGGCACAGTGGGAAACAAAAAGTCTGAGAAAAAACAAGACAGTTGCATAAACATAGTGCAGGTGTGAGAATGGGATGCAGGCAGTCCGTCCTAAAAGGATGGTGAGAGAAACTCAGGTCTTAAAAATTCCATTCCCCACCCCACTCTTTAACACAGACTATATATGGCAATATGCAGGTATGAATGTATGTTTGTTCTTAGACCATGTAAAAGTTAATCATTACCACAATTATCTGTAAAAAAAATGCATTACTAGTAGATTTTGTTTCTATTTCTATTGCTATGTTAAAAGGTGCAACTTCTGAAATCAGTTGACTATGACTGGCTAATACTAATGTTCTCTTATATTATCAATATAAGATATTGTTTTGTCAAACATATCCATGCTTTCCATATCCGTTCAGTAATGTTTTCACTGAGATTTGTTTCGATCATAGTGTTGAATGTGATGCCACCAAAATGCTACATGCTCAGAATGTTATACATATTAAAGAAAACTTATATATCAACATAGGAATTTGAGTTATTTATAAAATAATAAAAAAATTAAAAACACTTAAACTAATTAATGAAACATTTAACAGTTTGATCTCATTCAATTATGCTTGTAAACATCATTTTTATGTTTTTTCTTTCTTTTGTCCCTTTTTTCTTTCTTTTTTCCCTTCTTTTCCTTTCTTTTCTTAAATGTTTAGTAGAAGAAAAATTAGAATAATATGGTTCTTGACCTGATCCAAGAAGGAGAAACAGAATCATTGCGATGCATGGTGATCCATCAGGCATTCAGAAAGGTATCAATGTCAACAGGATCTCAAACCACTGAGGTCTAAGATAAATATATGGATATGTGTTTCTATAAACTTCTCTAAAATCTCATTGACATTTTTTATTCAAGTTTAAATGTTCTAGTGATGATGGGATTTTGGGAACCAAACAGTTGATCCCATAGTAACCCCCTCCCATAAGTGTATCAAGGGTAGCCTGCCAAAGTGCCCTCAAGAATTTGTCTGATTTAGTGACTAACCAGTTTTCAGCGGAGGCTATTTTAAAGGTGGTGCCTTGTGAGCACCTAAAATTCTCTGACTCTGATTTAATCTCTTCCTTGCATGCAGCAATCCCAGCCAGACTATAGCAACCACAATGATGTCTCGTGAATCCAAATGTCATTGCACAAAAGATAAAAATTACCTAAGTTATAGTAAGTCAAATGTGTCATAATGTGATGATGCACAATCTGTAATTTGTGTCATTTTTGTGGTGATGTGATGTGCACGATGTCACTTGCTCCTCCTTGCTTCCTGCAGGTGGTCATGATTGTATGGTATATCTATGATATAGTGTTACATTTATTCCCACATTACTTTTAAAGTACCACAAATTCATCAGTGTAGATCTTATTTCTAAGCTATCTAAGTTGATCAGCAGTACTGTTCTTAGCCAAGAAACTGAGACAAGGCTTAAAAATATAGTTTCTTTATTTAGTATGAATCTACATAATTGGCAAAAGCAACTGAAATTCCTAGTGGGTACAACAGCAGCCAAGCCTTGGCACTAAAATGTAGGTAATAGTTTAAAAGATGAGGGAATAAGGGGTTTATATTGAATACAATTAGAGTAAAATCTAGCCATAGTACTTCTGGAAAATGTTTGAAGAACAGATGTAATTTGGAAGCAAGTTTTTGCCAAAAGAAATACTATATTCTTCATTCCATTTTTCCTTTTTGCTGTTTGCAACTGATTTTCCAATGTTTTTATCCTGAATGAAACACTATAGGTCTGTCTCAGAAATTTCTTCCAAGTTGTCTCCTAAAACATGCACAAGAAAATGTTAAATCATACAAGCCAGGGCCCATGTACAATGTAACAGGCAAAGTGTATGTACTAGTTATATGTCCAGCCCTCCGTGCTAGTATGTGAGGTTCCCTGTTACCTGGTTATGGATTACAATAATCTTCAGATAAATGCATTTTTCTGTTTTTATTATAATTGTAATTGGTCTTAAAATAATTTTCAGATTGTTTGCTGCAAGAGTCACTTGTTTGAGATAGGC